CCAGCATTGCTGTTTTATACTCTTATATTTTTAAATTATTCCTACAATCTGTCAAATCCATTTAGGTACATCCCACATTTGCTTTTATTTATCTGCAGAGTGCAGCCTCCTTATTCATTACAGTTTGGCTGCCAGCATGGATGGAAACCATCCCAAGACGTATGTGAATTTAAATGGCAGCAGAATGACTGGCACTAGATATGTGTTTTTAGTGTCAAGGCTATGGTAATGTATATCATTAGTTGTTAAACATAGTCTGCTGTCGGCTCGGTGCCAGAGTGCTGTCTTATGTGCAGTGCCAAACCTTGCTGGAGAACGTAGCATGTTCTCTAGTTCAATTGCATATTTTCTCAGTTGTAGCTGTAGAAAAGAGACACCAAATGTAGTGACACAAAATAACTTCTGAACCATGCAAATGTGACATGAACCATCCAGTGTGACATGGAAACTAGTCTCACTTTGGGACAGGTATGTTGACACTTTTTTTTTTTTTTTCTTCCTTTTGGCCTCATCCATCCTCAGTGAGAAAATATGAGTAAAATCATCCCTGAGTATCTTTCCCAGGTCCTTGCTGATTGGGAATGTCTGTGGTGGCTTCTTGACAGTTACTTTCCACAGTCACAGCAGGAATGGGAATATGGGGCAGTTGGGAAAGTTGTTCCTTGGATAGGTGTCTCTTAACGTAGGGCATTTCCTATGGGATAGGGGGATAGCAAAGTCTGTATCACCTTTCTCTGTGTTGCTTTTCCTCCTCACTGCTCCATCCAGCTCTGACAAGTGAGCAGGAGAAGGGAGATCACCGAGTGCTCTTCCCACCTGTGCTGCAAAGGATGGGCTACCAGATGCAAAGAAAAGCCATTTCATGAAAAGTTTTGATATAATTTGTTCCCTGAATGGTAGGACTTGGGACATAAAACTAAACAGTGTTTCACGGTCAGTTTTTCTTCCCATTTTGAGGGACATCTCCATGCTGCCTCTTCTGCTGGGGTGAGGTTACAACCTGGCTCTTTCTAGGCTAACAATGTTGCCTCCACTGAAGTAGAAGACTTTGAAAGGAAAACTTGAATGTCATTTCCACATATGAACATGGAGTCATTCATGTGGTGACAACTTGCAGTTCTATCATGCCATTTGGTTTTTAATGTTGGAGTATTCTGTTATTCCTGACTAAAATTTATGTGTGCATGTGTTTGTGTGTATATATATATGTGTGCATATGTTTGTATATATATGTGTGTATATATACGTATGTATGTATTCACACATGCCCACACATTTATTTATGGCCTCTACAAAACCCAAATAAACAAAATGAAATTAAAATTAATCTAAAATTAATCTGAAGCACATTACATACAGGCGGAGCTGAGATAGCTTGGTCTGTTCAACCTCAGTAAGAGAAAGCTAAGAAGTGATGTTATACTAAATATATTATTTTCTCTCTCTGATTTTCCTTATTCTTGTTGCATGAAACATTTTTGATATAGACTCACCTTTTTTGTGCATTCTGTAATTAAATGTAAGTAACAATACTATGAAAGTGAGCTAACATATTTATTTAAATGCATTTGATGATTTTGTTGCATTGTCAGATAGTGCAGTTAGGATGTAAGATAGACTGGTATGAACCAAAAAGGAATGACAATTTTGTTTGCAAAGGCAGGGATTTAATTAGAGAAAAAATATCAGTAAGTGAAAGAAGAAGTATTTTTTATGATGAGTAATTTGAAACTCCAAATTAAAATATTAGAGAAATCAAGAAAATTTAGGTTATCTGGTATAATTAAGGTATAATCCATGGAAAGGGAAAAGGCAGTTTAGTAGCAAGTTAATGTCTCAACAGTGTTGCAGGTGAGTGATGATGGGAAATAGGACTGCAGAGAGGGGGTGAGCTTGTTGGAATAATGTGTTATAATCCAAGAATAAAAGTTGAATATTATTTGTCAGATTGGAGTATTTAGGTTTAGTTCACTGTACAGACAAATAATCCTCCTTATCTGATGTTTCTGGAGAATTATTTTTGTCAGACCCTGAGCTCCGAGCAGACAGAATAGAAAAAGAATAATTGCTAGTTGGCTTAAGTAAAATTTACTTGCTTTATTGATCATTTCTTAATAACTCTTTTTAATTATAGGTTGCCTTTATTATATAGTTTGCTCAAAGAACCCCTAAATCATCCTGTATTTTTCGTGCTGTTACCAGTTTTAATAATGATTGATTTTCAGTTGTAAATCAGACTGTATTGCTTGTGGGGGTTGTTTTGTTGTTTGTTTTTTTTTCCTGTCTCTATAAAAAGACAGTATTGTTTCTGAGGGTATGTTGGACGTTTATTCTGGAAAATTGGAATGAGATGTAGATGCTATAAATTCCATAGCCCTCACAATTGAAGTGTGCAAGGCTGAGTGTCAGCTACTGTCTAATGGCATTAGAACTTTCATTACTAATCTCTGGGAAATGGATATAGATCATTTGGTGACTGGGGAGAACTTTACATAGAAATAATCCGTGAAACAGCTAGAAATAAAGCTTAAAAGAATGCATAGATTGATTTTGATTTCCAAATGCTTGAAACTGAATTTTTTTCCATTTAAAACCAAACATTTTCTGATCTTATTCATAGAAAAAAGTATTTTAGTACAGAGTTGCATATACCTCAGTAAGTTCCAGACTGAAGCTCCAAGATGATAGCACAGGTGTCTTTCTGGGGACATGCCCGTTGTTCGTTAATGCAGACTTTACTGGGCTGCCCCACAGCAGCTCTCCTCTCCACACTCAGCAAAATAGTACTGCTTTGGTTCATCCGTAATTTAATTTATATTGACCAAAAATGCATTTTTTTTTACGAGGAAAGGTTGAGCTCATCATAAGCTATTTAACTGTGCCACTGCAGCACTTGTGCCGAGTCCTAGTGTGATGCTGTCCTTTGGGGAAAGCCACCCATTCCCTATGGCCCCCGAGTCTGTGCATGGGAAGGAGATGAGTGCAGTGCAGAGCTGAAAGCAAGGTTGGAGTCAGAGGTTGCCCATCTAATGGGGTAACCAAGGGTAAAGTAGGGTTTCATGAAAGTGCCCTCCTTCAGGGCGATGGAAACTGCGGGGTGGTTCTGAGAATAGACAAAATGGCCATGGGGTTATGAAGCCCAGTTGCAAACCTCTCCTCAGCACTTCCCACACAGCAGTCAGTGTTTTGTAGGTTCATGTAGTGATTGTCCCTGCACTCTCAGTGGCAGTACTGTCAAAGGATGTGGTTAAAAGAAGGTTGTTCATGCGTGGGACAGAAAGACGTGTGTTTATTTGTAGCCCCTTAGAAATTTTGAGAAGTCCTCACTCTTCCAGAGGTTTCCTGTTTGACTTTGTGTAAGTTCTTTTGGCTTGCACTATGTTAGGATTTTCATAAGCTGGAAGAATAATAATATTTTCCAGGATGGGTTAGTGGGATATTGCTGCTGAATAGACCATGTCAGTACATACACAGGAATGCCCGATATATTTTGTAATTATGCCAAGGTTTTAATTCAATGTTAATTTGGTGCAATGAGTTCCAACAGCTAATTATGTGTTGGGTGAAAATGTATTATGCATCAGAGGTATTCACTGAGGGTGGTTGTAAAGTGACATGCTTATCCTTAGGTTTACATTCTAGGACTTTCGAGTATTTGCCTGTGGAGCCTTAATTTTGTAGTGACATCTGTTTTGCTGTGTTTTGTTTTCAGATTTTTTTTCTATTTTTTGAAGACTTTGTGATCCTTTTTATAGTTTTTTTTTCCTAGGAAATAAATTTTTAATTTCCCAAGGTTTTTCCCCCGCTAACTGAAGGCATCTGGACCTTGTTTATAGGGAACTCATCAAGACTGTGCTAAGCAGTTTGGTATTCATGAACTAAGTTCTGTCCCTTTTAATGTAATCCATCAGTACCATGGACATGTACATCCAGGGGGATATCACAGAAGCGCAGGGTGGTTGACATTGGAAGTGACCTCTGGAAATTATCTGGTCCAATCTTCCTGATCAAGCAGAGCCACCTAGAGCCAATTGACCAGGACCATGGCCAGATGACTTCTGAATATCTCCAACAATAGAGACTCCACAACTCTTCCTGGCATGGATGATTATTTTCAACAATCGTGGATGATTGTTGCCAACAAAAACAAGTTATGATAGGCTTTTGAGGGGAATCAAAGTCTCTTGTGAGGCTGGATAAAAAAACAAAAGAAGTGTGGGGTTCTTTCTGTTCCAGAGCTTTGTCTTTCCAGCTGGATGCTCAGCACAATTTCCAGGTTAAAAATGGGTTCTAATTTGACTGTGTTTGCTTTGACCCGTGCCTCCTGGATGTATGCCTGTGACTGTTCCCATCCACAAGAACAGGACTAGAAAGTGCCTTTACTTGAGGTAAACCACAGACAGTAGGATGGGGCGGTCATGGAATATCTGGGTTTGTCCTTCTAAGGATCACTGAGCGGGCTGCATCCCAGATGAGCAGGGGGACAAACTCTCAGTGCAGGCAAGCACTGCTCATACAAGTAAAATGTTCAGCTCTCCAGAGATGACAATGCAGCCAGTGTATCAAGGAATTTACATTCCATAGGGTGGATTTCCTTCAAGAGGTCTTTGGTTGCCTATCTCTTTTTGTTTGTGTGTGAAATGACCTCTGGCAGAAATGTTAGGAAGCCCAGATCTCTTGTCCCATCCTAATAAATTGAGATTTACAAAACTACAGTGAAGCAGAACCTGAAATGTGGGTGGACCGGGTTTCATCCAGGAGTTTTATACAACGGTATAGATGGAATTAAAGTCTTCTAAGTTTAAAAGAAAGAAACAAACAAAAATCCCCACTTTTTGCTTTCTTACATTGTTTTTTTGCCACGTACAGGCTGATTTAGCTACTATGCACATTATAACATATAAATAATGAATAGTATATCAGGAAAGACTTTTTTTTTCTAAGAAAAGAAAGGAAACAGAGAAAGAAAATTTGGGAAATTTCATTCTTCCTTTCAGGAAAAGGAGGAATGACATGACATAAAAAGCTTTAAATTAATTAAAGCAAAACATTGATTACATTTTCATCACTCAACAATTGTTTTGCTGCACTTCATATCTTCTGTGATGCGTGCACATCAGTTTACCTCTGTAAATTCTGTACGGCATTGTTACAGTTTATCTGTGACTCCATCATCTCTGTTGATGGATGTTCTTAAACAAATCTAACTACCTTGTCAGCTTGGTATAGTCACTGAAGGAACAGCAAAATACAGGTACAGTTTTCCTGGAGGAGAAACAGGAAAAAACTGTAGAGTTGGCCGTCACCTAACTCTGTGCCTATGGCCTATATCCTTGTTGAAGTTGCTAAGACATCAAGATCTTTACATGTATATTTCATTCACAGATTTTCTGAGCCTTTACAACTTCTTGTGGATGAAAATAAAGTTTCAGAACCTCATGTGTAATATATAGATTTGATATCAAAGGTAAAAATAAAGGACAATGAAATTTTTATAAAGTAGTAAAAGAAAGCAGGACAAGTGAAATGAATCACTTTCAGATTTTTTTATTTTCACTAGAACCACTTACAGAAGAAAGAAAGAAACGAACAAAAAACCAAACAAAAAAACTGCAACGAGTTTTTAACAACTATATTTTTTCTGCTGGAAAATTCAAGTTCTGGCCCATCCTCATCATGATGGTGGCCCTTGGACCTTTGAAGTGGCAAAGTGGAGTTCACCTCAGAAGAAATCAAGGACTGCACATTTCCTTATCCTCTACCAAATATAAAAGCAGAACTGAAATAGAGTCGCACAGTTCAAAATATTAAAAAAAATTCTCAAGGTTTATATTGAACTCCTGCTTCACAGACCTGTTCTTTGACTTACTAGCATGAGATTTTATTCTTTCATTCTAGGGAGTACTTAAGTATGATGTTAGTTGTCAGACGTCCAGTATTAAGGCTATTTACTTCCAGAAGGAATTCACTTTACTTAGTGAGGTGGCTGAACGAAAAAGATATGATGTCCAATAGATTATGATATAGATTATAACATTATTATTGCATTCTGTTGTGGTTATGGTGTTAACTTCTGTGGCAGCTAGCACAGTCACTTCTGCTTTTTGAAAATAAATTCATAATTGGAGTCTATAAGGTTTTTTTGAGCATACAATATATTAGGACAAAACTAGGTAATCAAGTAAAATAATTTAATGAAATTAATAGGTTTTTATTTTTAATTAATTTTATTAAAAATATTAAATAAAATTTACTTTTTGCTAGGATTCTTTCATTACCTTTATTGGTAGCCTAATTAAAAAGGTGAAAATTACATTAAATTTGATTGCTGAAAAGGTTTGAAAGACTGGTTCAACTCCATTGTCCTAAGAAAGACTTTATTGTTTCACTGAAAGAAAAAAAACATACAACAAGAACCTGAAAAGGCCTCCTGATTTAGAATTTAACAACTTCCCATTGGAGAAACACATCTAAAATATAGTAACATCAAGAACTCCCCAGAACTAGGGATGTCTCCTCTTAAAACTGCTCCTAAAATTTCTCAGTGAAAGACGACTGACTGCATTTTAGACTTTTCAAAAAGTGTAATGGGGTCTCTGAGGTACGTTCTTTCTTTCACTTGTGTTAAGCAAAAGCACTATAACTTTTAAAGGCGTTTAAATTTTAGGGGGTTGTTTAGCCTTTGAAAGCCCAGTAGAAATATTTGTATAGATTCTATCAAACTAGCAATTAATGCTTTTTTACTTCTCACTATGTAGTTTGACTTAAGCCTTGAAGTCTTTGCAGTTCAAATGCTGCAGCAGCCTTCAGAGGAACTGAGAAATGAAAGGCCCTGCAAACAGACTCAGGTAGTTTCAGCCATAAGCACTGATTTGCTGAGTAGATGTCCAAAAAAAAAAAAAAAAAAGATCCCACCCAACAATGGACCACCCACATGTACAAAGTCAGTATTTGTTCAGAGTCAACTCAAGCACTTTTAACTGTACTGTCCAGTTTTATATTTGAGAATAAATAGCTTCCGACCAATTTAATTTGAGGTAAGAATAATGTGGACACATCTAGAGTTCAAAGAAAAAGTGGCAGGCAGAAATGACCTCTCTAAATTTAATTAGTACTCTCATTCTGTCTCACAGTACATAAGTGTCCATCAACAAAAATGTTGCCAGATCCAATTATCACTAATTGGTAGTTAATTTGACTGGGAAATACAAGGCTAAGTATTTAGGGGCCAACCCTGAACTCATTAACATAAAGGACAAAAATATTAAAAATATTAGAAATGAGACAGAAAAGTAATGTAAATGTATCTCTGTATTGGCTCCAAGCAATTGGTTGTGGATCTGATGGGGTGCTGGGCTACTAACAGACCAGTCCAGTAATCGATGTGCAGGAAATCGAAGCCCTTGAGCATTGAAGCTAAGTGTGAAACTCCTTGGGAAATGGGTTAACAAAAGGAATTTACTTTACTTGGCACTTAAAGCTTCCTTTAGTGACACGTTGTAAACTATTAAAAAAGAGATGTAGCTCCCATGGTGTGTACAGGAAGCTTATAGACTTTGTGAAAGGGCATTTTTCCAAAAAAAATCTATTCTTTTTTGTATTTACAAAAGAAGCCACAAAATAATTGCAAATGGGCTGGACAGTGGCTTTGCAATGAGATAGATCTCTTTTCATTGTGCAAGAAATGAGTGTCTCTGTGTAACAAAGGGCATGGGTGATGTTTTATATTTCACTCCTCATTTTCCTCTTCCCTCTGGCAGAACTATTTAATTGGTGGTTAGTGGAACTCTCTGCACTTTAGAACTTCACTGCTTTTAATTCAAACAGATACCATGACTGCTCAAAACTACAGCTGGTTCTTCTGTCTGCAAATCTATTCGGTATTTCTCTTCATATTGAATAGCCATTTTTCCTTATGATCATCAACATGAAAAAATTATCCATCGTTTCTGTGAAAGCTCCATTTACTGCCCCTGGCATGGTTTGTGCATTACCATGTTGACGATGGACAAAATGCTTTTCTTGAGGGAAAAGAGAAAAGAGACCTATTTCATTGTCTTTTATTCTCTGGACACTACTGGTCTTTAGTATTTGGCCTGGAGTACATAATTTATAGTCATCAAAGAAATAAAGTGAAAAGCAGTACATGGGCAGCAGTGAGGAGAGAGATTGTGAATCACAGAATCATAGAATGCTTTGGGTTGGAAGGGACCTTAAAGAACTTAGAATACATTGCCATCTTCCCCTACTACGTTTTGCTCCTCACTTGACCTTTGCAATACGTGCTAGTTCCAAAGTTTCCAACTGCTTGCTTGAGGGGCCCCATCCATCTAGCATCTGTGCAAACCACGGATGGAATAAGACCAACCTATTTGTTCCAGTGGGAGAAGCAGGAGGCATCACATGAAATTTTCAGACAACAATCTGAACTCGAGGAAGGAGACGGGACCCATGATACAGCTGTGCTGTCTCTCGGGGCTGCAGGTCTTCAGAAGGGCCTTGGGGTTACAGGTAAAGGTGCTGAGCCAGTTTATAAAGAAAAATCCTTCAAGGCTCTTAAACAGGAGAGCATCATGTGGCGCTCAGGTTATGCTTGAATGGCAAATGTTGTAAATTGAGCACTTACCTTCAAATACAGTCTAAAGCACAGGGTAATGGGCCAAAGTCATTGCTTGCATACATTGGTGCGAGTTTTTAAATTCATTGAAATTACCTTTTTTAATAACAAGAATAAATTTTGACCAAGTAGCTTAAACTGTGAAGAAGTGTCTAATGAAGTATCACTGGGCGGATTTGAAGTTTGGCCTGGATTAACATCATCTTTAATGATCTGGAAGGAGACAGTCAGAATGTTCATTAAATGTGCATGGTATACAAAGTTTGGTTTCAAATACCATTGAAGGTACAAAACCACAGAGGAGCAGAGGAAAACAACTAAAACAGAAAAGAGATTCATCTCAGTAAAATGCAGGTTGATAAAGGTAATGATTAATATTCTGAATTACAGTGTAGGAAGTAATGTTGAGAGAAAGAATGATTTCAGTAATAATAACAACAACAGAAACAACCATATTAAAACAATAACAATATTAAAAAATCGTGTCTACACTCTATTAGTGGGATCACACCATTGATAAATTTCTTTGAACAGAGATGCACAATAGGTAGATATGTAGGATTCTGGAAATGTTAAAATATTGAGAGATTGGAAAGAAATCAAAGGAATACGTACAAGTCTGTCAATAACATTAAGGGAGTTGATTTCAGAGCAGAGGTTTAAAAAACATATACAAAGTATCAGAGGCAAAATATATTTTCAGGGAGGAGTTAAGGTGCTGGAGGATGCTGTGGTGCACTGATGAGGATGAAAATGACTCATGTGTGTTCAGGGTAACACCATGGGCTGACCGAAAAAGGGGAGTGGACTCAGAGCAGTGAAGATCCAAACTAAACATAAGGATCACCTGGGGTAATTGCCTCCAAGTTGGTTGGAATTTACAATTTCTGTGTGTTTTAGCCTATGTTTAGATAGGCAAGTGCTGTTTTCCCCATTTACCTGCTGAGGTATTAAGGATGCTGCTGGACAGCACTGCTGAGTTCTTGTGGGCTTTTGCTGCTGGGAGGGGATGGATCTGGGCACACTTCCTTACAAGAGAGAAAAGCAAAAGTGCCTTCAGCTGTAAAGACATGAACTAAGGATACAGATAATTAATGAGGATGTTATTTTTATTTAATGTTCTTTTTTGGCAATATGAAGCCTCCAAGTAATGCTATTTGAATTTATTTTTATTAATCTATTCATTTATTACTTTTTTTTTTATCTTCTTTTCTAACATTGAGGATCTGGTAACTTTACTACATTTTACCCTGAATGAGGCAGGTATTTCAAAGACTGTTTTGCCTCAAGTATGCCTTTGCTCTTCCTTTTGAATTATCACTTTTATTGGAAATAATTAAGAAAATACTTTTTTTTCAAGCATGTTGAAATTAGAAATAAATGGTTCAGAAGAAAACCACCAGTGTTTCTTTTATTCCAGAGCAGTTTCAGGATGATGGATATCTTTGCAAGAAATATTTCTTCATTAGTATCTTCTGTTGGTGATGGCCTCATCAACTGTTGTAGTGAATTTAGTGAGCCTTTTTAATTTGTCTGCGAGTTTCAGTTCAATTAATTTTCTTGTTAAGTTTCCAGGGTGAATGTGTCTAGGAAGGATTGATGTAAGTTAATGATAAAATTCCTGCTTTAGATAGGTGGAATAAATTAGCAGATGAAAACAGCAGCTATTACTCACTACCTTCTAGGTTTTTAAAATAAAATTACTTTTTCTTTGCCATCATATGCTTCTTAAAACCTATAAATTGTTTTCTAACCTCTCTAAGCTGTAATTACTATATCAAGAATGAGAGCTCTGGAGACCTTTATTTGTGTAGGCACTCAACAACTGAGCCTCAGCAACATGTGGTACTAGTAGAAGTATCATCTCTGAGATACTTAATTGATTCCACATTCTCATCGACTTAATCACTTTCTTATAGTCACGGTCACAGAATGGTTGGGGTTGGGAGGGGTTTGGGAGGGGCATATGGAAATCATCTAGTCCAACCCTCTGCTAAAGCAGGTTCACCCAAAGCAGGTTGCACAGGGTTGTGTCTGGGTGGGTTTTTAATATCTCCAAAAAAGAAGACTCCACAACCTCTCTGGGCAGCCTGTCACCTTGAGAGTAAAGAAGTTTTTCCCTATGTTTAGGTTGAATTTCCTGTTTCAGTTTGTGCCCAGTCCCCTTGTCCTGTTGCAGCCTGTGGCACCTCTGAAGAGTCTGGCCCAATCCCCCTGACGCCAAGTCTTAAGATACTTAAATGCACTTATCAGATCCCCTCTGCCTCTTTGCCAGGCTAAACATTCCCAGTTCCCTCAGCCTTTGCTTGTAAGAGAGATTCTTCTCTGATCACCTTCATAGTCATCTACTTTCTTTTTTCATGATTCGTAAACGTGAACAAATTTACTTGGTGAACTTAATACCAGTTCTCCAGTCATCCAAAAATGGAGATCATGATCCTGTATTCAGTTGCTGAAGGTGCTCTAGAAGCAGATCAGCAGACTGAAGTTGGCTGATACCCTATGTACAATATCAGCAATTTAAAGGTTTTACTTCAGACTGGATCTAGTGTGGTTCTTTGGAGTCAATATGGCCCAATATAAATGTGTTCCTCCAGGAGAAAAAGATGAAGTGGAGAGTAGGAACTGTGTCCAGAAAAGGAGGGTCTCCACAAAGGTTGTAGAAGCTAAGGCAGTTCAACATTTTGCTAGTTTGATAAAATATACAATATTGGTATTTATAACACAAGAAATATTTGTGTATTTCAGGCAATATATAAATATGGGACTAATGTGGGGGAAGCTTTTACATTATATGTTAAAATGGTGGTTTATGAACTGTATATGCATGATTTTTTTTAAACAAACAAAATCGCGGTGGAAGATAACTGAAAGAATGCAGAAAGTGGTGAATAAATGAACAATAAGCTTCTACAGCTATGATGTTAAGGAGGACTCTACATATACTTCTGCTTCCCTACTTCTGGTAATGCTTTCTCCTCCTTACTGAGCTTTGTTTACAGGGAGGTTCTCCTCTGTCTCTCACTTTCTGGATGCTGGCAAGCTGCCACTCGTGGGCAGTGAAAATGTGCATTTATGTGTCAGTCCAGGAAGAGGGAATTCCAAAGGTGTGTGTACTATGCCATAGCTGTCTCCCTGCCTTTCCCCAGCCTCTTGCATTAGGTTTCTGAGCATGTCAGCTTTGAGACAGTGTTGATGATGCTTCTTTCCATCCAGGTGTGTGCTTCTCTCTTAATTTGCTCCCCTTCACCTCTTTTTAATCCTTTGCTCCACTTAGGTGGTCCCTTCTGGCTTCAAACTCTGTTAACACAATAATGGAAAGGATTAGTATCAGTACAAAGTCTGTACAAAGTGCTTTGCCTTTTGTTTGCACAAGGTGCCTGTTTATCAGCATTTGTAAATACTCCTGCCTAGCTGTGACTGTGGACACACAAAGCATCTCAGCACAGAAACTACTTGAGGTCAACTCTGAATCTAACATGACAATGAACTCTTTACAATAGTCACTCTATCAGTTATTCCATATGCCTGCTGTGAAGTGATAGTGATGTTGAGTGCAGGCACAGGGAGAAAAATTTCTCTAGGAAAAGTTTATCAAGTCTATCAGGAAAAGAAAGCCTCTATGCCAATAATAAAAGAGGCAGGAAAAAAATCACATTGTGGTATGTCCATAATATAATTAGCCTTTGATAATGCTAACACACTGATTTTATATTGGAATAGCAGTCAGTCTTTTCATTCTAAATTCAAAGAATTTAGAAATAGCTTCTTTGCTTTTTCAATTTGTATTTATTAATTTTTTTTTCTCTTTAAAAACAAATACTTTGAGCTCACGGAAGTTAATAATCCAGAAAGTAGATGTTATACTTGTGGTAACACTTCATCACAGTTATCGTAGCAAACATGACTTAATGCTTGAATAAGATGGCTTCCACAGATTGTAGTGGGTACTATAGAAACAGTGCTGAGTGGGCATTAAAAGACACGACCTCTGCACAATAGAAATTTCTGTTTACTCCATTTCTGAATGTATAACTCTGGTATTAATTGCTTTGGACTGAACACCTAAAAGATTTTCATTTTGCCAAGGAAATACTGTATTTAAACAGAACTGTTACTTAGGACAGGAAATATCTGTTATCTCCTAACTCCTTGAAGTTTGCTTATATAGTTTTCATGGTGAATAGTGCTATTACATGTTTAAAAAACACATCTGTCACAAGCTGTCTCAGCTAGATCAGAGAAAAAATGGATTACACATTACAAGCATAGTTCTTTCATAAGAAGAAGAGGTTTTAATCTGCAAATACAGCATAATACCTCTTCCCAGGCCAATTTCTCCTTTGCTCACTAAGGCAAATGGTGTAAATTGGTTTAAATAGGCGGTGGAATTGAAGTGACAAGAGTAATTTATACTACCTGAGGTTCTGTTCTCTCCTTTAAAAGATGAGACTCTCTGTTACGGTCCTTGCAGAGTGGTCTAATTGGGCAGGCTTGAGGGATGCTTAGGAAGTCTTCTCGGTCCTGCAGCTCATTTTTCAGAGTGTGAGGGCAGAGTTCTGCAGGACTGCTCAGGTACCAGCTGACTTCCACCATGGTTTCCATAGCTAATTCTGTTCCAGACTTCACACAGGGTTCAGACTGGTTTTGTTTCTACCCCTGTATTATTAAATGTTGAATGTGCTCTTTGCCTCACAAGTATCTGTAGTGCTGAGAAGTGTGTGAACAGTTTGAGATATAGCAGTATCTACCTCACATCCTTTTTACAGATAATGTTCACTGGCCCTGAAACATGTACAGTTTGCACAAACTGCTGCTAACAATGTTTGATCCATGAGCTATGCTTGTAGCAGACTACAGGTCAGTCTCAAATATGAGATACCAGAATGCAAAAGGAATGCAAGTTTCTGTTGTTTTATATTGCTCTCACTATTCAAGCACATATTTTAGAGCAAAGCCAATTTTTCTACTGCAGAATTTTTAGTTGGGGAATGAAGTGTGTGCAGGGAAATTAAAAAACCCTAATTTGGTGTTTTTTTTTTTTTTTTTTTTTTTTTTTTTTTTTTTTTTTTTTTTTTTTTTTTTTTTTTTTTTTTTTTTCTTGAAAGAGGAGCAGTGATGTGTCATTTGATCACTCTCCCTCTCCTTCAGTGTTTTTTCCCACTAAATTACATAGTTTCCTCTGCATGCCACATGCATCATTAAACATTCTGTATATCTCCCAATTCTTCTTCCTCCTAACATGAAGGAAGCCAGTAATAAGATTAATCTTTGTCACTAACAGTTACTTGCATGGCTATAATGGAGGAACATTATAGGTATACATGCACAACAGAAGTCAAAGTTCTACTTTGCCTCAGAGTTCTACTGAAGTCATCTGTCAGTGTACTCAGTTTTCTTATATCTCTTTGTGTGTTCCTGCAGTGACGTTATATTCAGGATTTTAAATGCTAATCCAGGGATCCAAACAACTGGTAGTTAACCATCTGTACTTGATACAAACAATAGTAGCAAAGAAAACGCCAGACCTGGAATGATTGCTGTATAATAACAACAAGGCTCTTAGACTACTTTTTTCACATTCTTAGCAACACCCATGGGGAATCAATGCTTTCTTTTCTGAGCTACCCCTAACTCTTAACTCGATCTGTGAGTTAGAGGAAGTAGCTGGCTGGGCTTGTCTGAGAACATCAGGATGCAACTGATCCTGTAAACAAGTATGCCCTCATTGTATGGTTGTACTCACGGGGAGGAGTTACCGTTCCTGGGTTGTGGAAACACATGCTGGAGGAATATCCTGCAACTTCTGCCATGGAGACATTCTCCTTGCAATTCTGTTCTTCTCTGCTGCTGAATCCTTCCAGTTTTATGACCTCTATGCATTCTGTGTTGGTGACAGCACATACTGCTGGCAAAACACAGGATGGTTTAAAGAGGCAAGAGCAGGGGGATGTATTCTGGATTCATTTTCTTGCATTGCATGTACTTCTTTGTAAGTAGCACCCAAGAATGATGTAGGTACACA